AACAAACAATGAAACAGACCTCCTCAGTCTAATAGACACTGAATTTAAAAAAGGAGATAATGAAAATACTGAAGGAATTAAGAAGAGCTATTGATAGAAATGCAGATTACTGTAAAAAGAAACTAGAAGCTATAAAAGGAACCAAGAAAAATTTTAAAATTCATTTGGTGAGATGAAAGCTGAGCTAAAGACAATAAATAGCAGATTGAATATGGAAAAGAATGAATAAGTGATCTGGAAGATAGAATAATGGAAATCTCCGAATCAGAACAGCAGACAGAAAGCCAAATAAAGAAAAAAAAGAAGAAAGCAATGTAAGAGACCAGTGGGATAATATAAAGCATGCCAATATATGCAAAATAGGGATACCAGAAGGAGAAGAAAGAAAAAAGGGGATTGAAAATGTATTTGAAGAAATTATGGCTGAAAATTTCCCAAACCTAAAGAAGGAAACAGATATCCAGGTACAGGAAGCACAGAGGGTCCCAAACAAGATGAACCCAAACAGACCTACACCAAGACATATCATAATTAAAATGGCAAAAGTTAAAGAGGGGATTCTAAAGGCAGCAAAAGAAAAACAAAGTTAATTACAAGGGAACCCCCATAAGGCTATCAGGTAATTTCTCTACAGAAACATTGCAGGTTAGAAGGGAGTGGCAAGATACATTCAAAGTCCTGAAAGGGAAAAATCTGCAACCTAGGATACTCTACCCAGCAAGATTATTTAGAAGAAGAATAGAATAGAAGAAGAGAGAAAGCATTTCTCAGATAAGCAAAAAGTAAAAGAATACAACAATAGTAAAACCTAGCCCAAAGGAAATATTGAAAGGCCTTCTCTAAATAGAAAAGCAGCAAGACTCTATAGGAAAGAGAAAATCACAACTGGAAAGTAAATCACTTAAATAAGCCAGTGCACAGATTTTTTGAAAATCAAAAAAAAATTTCTGCAAAATTTTCTGTGAAAGTGCTGATAACCACAGTGAATGGCAGAACATGCAGATGTAAAAGAGGACATCAAAATCATACAATGTGGGGAAGGAGAGTAAGAAAATGTAGTGGGTTTTTTTTTTTCAGAATGTGTTTCAGCTTACATGACTACCAGTCCAAGCAAGTAGATATAGGAAGAGGTTAACATACTTGAAAAACAGGGTAACCACAAATCAAAAAACATACAATAGATTCACGAAAACCAAAAAGAAGAGAACACAAGCATAATACAAAAGAAAATCATCAAACCACAAAAGGAAAAACAAAAAGAAAGGAACAAGAAGAAATACAAAATCAATGGGAAAACAAGGTTTAAAATGGCAATAAGTACATATCTATCAACAATTACCTTAAATGACAATGGACTAAATGCTCCAATAAAAAGACATAGAGTGGCAGGTTGGATTTAAAAAAAACCAAAAAAGCCTACAATATACTGCCTACAAGAGACCCACTTTGGGGCAAAGGACACACATAGATTGAAAGTGAGGGGATGGAAAAAGATATTTCATGCAAATGGAAATGACAAGAAAGCAGGGGTCACAATACTCATATCAAACAAAACAGAGGCTATAAACAGGAAAGATAAAGAAGGACACTATATAACAATAAAAGAAGAGGGTATTACACTCGTCAACATATATGCACCAATATAGGAGCACCCAAATGCATGAAATAAATACTAACAGACATAAAGGGGGAAATCAATGGGACTACAACACCCCACTCACATCAATGGACAGATCTTCCAGACAGAAAATCAATAAGGCAGCAGAGATCCTAAATGATACAATAGAACAGTTATACTTAATTGGTATTTTCAGGACATTACATCAAAAAAACCCCAGAATACACATTCTTTTCAAGTGCACATGGAAAATTCTCTAAGATTGGTTACATACTAGGGCATAAAACAAGCCTCAACAAATTTAAGAGTATAGAAATTATTTCAAGCATCTTTTCTGACCACAAGAGCATGAAACTAGAAATCAACCACAGGAAATAAATGAGAAAAACAACAATTACATGGAGAATAAACAACATGCTACTAAAAAACCAATGGGTCAAGGAGGAAATTAAAAAATACCTTGAGACAAATGACAATGAAAACACAATCATACAAAATCTATGGGAAGCAGCAAAAGCAGTTCTTAGAGGGAAGTTCATAGTGATACAGGCCTTCTTCAAGAAATAGGAAAAATCTCAAACAAACTAACCTACCACCTAAAAGAATTAGAAAAAGAAGAATAAACAAAATCTAAAGTCAGCAGAGGAATGAAATAATAAAGATCAGAGAGGAAATAAATAAAATAGAGATCTTTAAAAGCAATAGAAAAAAATCAATAAAACAAAGAGCTGGTTCTTTGAAAGGGTAAAAAAATTGACAAACCTTTGGCCAGGCTCACCAAGAAGAAAAGAGAGAGGACCCAAATAAACAAAATAAGAAATGAAAGAGGAGAAATAGCAACTGATACCACAGAAATGCAATAAAAAAAAGAGAATATTATGAACAATTATATGCCAACAAATTGGACAACCTAGAAGAAATGGACAAGTTTTTAGAAACATACAGTGCACCAAAACTGAATTAAAAAGAAATAGATAATTTGAACAGACCAATCACTAGAAATAAAATAGAATCTGTAATTTAAAAAAAAAAGACTTCCTACAAACAAAAGTCCAGGACCAGATGGCTTCACAGGTGAATTCTACCAAACATACAGAGAACTTATATACTAATCCTTCTCAAACTCTTCCAAAAGATTGAAGAGGAGGGAACACTCCCAAAGACATTCTATGAAGCCAGCATCACCCGGATACCAAAACCAGACAAAGACACCACCAAAAATTACACCACCAAAAATTACAGTCCAATATCTTTGATGAATGTAGATGGGGAAATTCTCAACAAAATATTAGCAAACTGAATCCAACAACACATAAAAAAGGTTGTACACCACAACCAAGTTGGATTCATCCCAGGGTCACAAGGATGGTTCAACATACACAAATCAATCAATGTAATACACCACATCAACAAAAGAAAAGAAAAAAACCACATGATCATCTCAACAGATGCAGAAAAGGTATTTGATAAAATTCAACATCCAGTCATGATAAAAAGTTATGAAAGTGGATATAGAGGGTACATATCTCAACATAATAAAAGCTGTTTATGACAAACCCACAGGCAAGATAATACTCAATGATGAAAAGCTGAAAGCCTTCCTACTAAAATCTGGAATTTAACACAACATTGTAAATCAAGTATACTTCAATAAAATAAATTAAAAAAAAAAACAACTCTGAACGACTCTGATAAGACCAGCCCTAAACATGTAAATGAATAAAAGCATCAGCTAACTCAGATAATGATGAACATTATTAAGGGGATTTAAAACGGTATAGGGAGGGCTTCCCTGGTGGCACAGTGGTTGAGAGTCTGCCTGCCGATGCAGGCGACACGGGTTCTTGCCCCGGTCCGGGAAGATCCCACATGCCGCGGAGCAGCTGGGTCCGTGAGCCATGGCTGCTGAGCCTGTGCGTCCGGAGTTTTGCTCTGCAATGGGAGAGAGGCCACAGCAGTGAGAGGCCTGCGTACAGCAAAAAAAAAAAAAAAAAAAAAAGGTATGGGGAAGTCATTCTGCATTTTACATGAGTTAATTTGAATTTTATGCTATCTAAGATAGCCTGTTTGTGGCCTGTCAAACATGCATTGTACATCTGCTTTAATTATTGAAGAAAAGGGCACACTGACCAGAAGTAAAGAATGTGTTAAAAAGAAAGGTTAAATGCCTCCCTTCCTGGGATGCCAATGCTGGTCCTCCTTCAATAAGACTCCCTTCCCAGGTGCCAAGGCCGTACTGACTCTCTGTATACTCGCTGTATACGCACTGGTCTGTTTTTGTTTAGTTTGGTTTTGGTTTTGAAACCTTGAAGAAATGTACCTCTGACTTATTTAATGTTCTTTGCTCTGACAGTATATAACACTGTGCTGCAAACCATGCTTCTCTGGAGAAATTTCTCAGAAAAATCTGGGAGGCTGTCTTCTGGACTATAGTCCTCAGTTTGGTGCAAATAAAACTCTTTTCTATTTTTATTATATATTTATTGATTATTTTCATTGACAAGGGGTTGGTGGCATTTGCGGGGCTGCGCAGATCTCTCCCAGGGGATGAGAGGCTAATAACAAAAAGGAGCCAGCCCAGGGGAAAGTTTGGGGGAAGACTGCCCATTTCTGCTGGTCCCTGAAGCCTGGCATTTGGAGGATGGGTGTGGGAGGTGGGGGAGGCCTCTGTATCAGCAGAGGGGACCCACCTGAGGTGAAAGGTGGGATGCAGACCGGACACACGAAGACACGCTGTGCTCACACACACCCCATCACAATCACATTCTGGACCCTGCCCTTCCCCCACCGCACATCCCCCAGTTCTGTTGGCTGACAACCGGGAGAAACGAACTCCAAGGACCACACCAGCTGCCCCGCCCAGAGACATCATCAACGTCCCCCGCGGCCCCGCCCCTCGCCAGAAGCCCCGCCCCGGCTTGCAACTGCTCCTGCGCGCTCCAAGCCGGGAGCGACTCCCAGAAGCCCTTGGGGCGCTGTCCTGTCTAGCGGCGTAGCCTGTACTTCCGGCCAGACTCGGTTACTATGTGGACAACCACCTGGGCAGCCGCGGTCCGGAAGGGCCAGGAGCCGCTGACTTGGGGCCGAGTCGACGGACGCTGTGTAGGCCCAGACGGGCCCTCTCCTCCCCGCCCTCTCTCCTCTTGGCGCCGCCGGGACGCCGGCCGGGACTCCGTTTCCCAGAGGGCGCCGCGGCTGACGGACGCGCCCACTTCCGGCGGCGGC